TTTTCTTAAAAAAAACAAAACAAAACAAAACAGCCTCTTTTCACACAAGTATTCGTTAGTTCAGTACTAAGGCTTTTTTTTTTGTTGGCAAACCATGATATAAATAAAGTTTTGTCTACTAAAGTACTTATTTTTTTTAGTTATAAAAACGATAACTTATTAAAAAAATTCACAATCTGAAACTTTGTACAGAAGACAGGGAAAGTGGCATTATGTGGTTGGTACTGACGTGAAGCCTTCCTCAGTGCCCAAATGGGTCCCACAAACACCTGGAACCCCAAGAAGGGAGTTTCCTGGAAGCCATTCTTTGGGTTGATCCATCCATCCCTTTGGTACAGTGGTTCTCAACCTTCTTCATGCTGTGGTGACCCCAAACATAGAATTATTTTAGATGCTACTTCTTAACAGTAATTTTGTTACTGCTATGAATCATGATCTAAATATCTATTATGCGACCCCTGGTGAAAAGGGGTCATTCAGTCCCCAAAGGGGTCATAACCCACAGGTTGAGAACCATTGCTTTTGTGATTTTCCTCTGGAACCCATTTTGCTCTTCTGAAGAATTCATTCCTGTTTCAAGGATTTCATGCTACTTTGCAAATCTATTCTCATTATGACTATCATCTCCTCTATTTTAAGTGCTACCCTGAGCTGCAGCCTTGAATGATTGTCAATAGTGTTTCTTTGGTGAGAAGAAACAGTTGAGAGTGATGTGGGGGATTTAAGTTCAGTGAGGTCTTTTCCTCTGGGTAGCACATATTAGAAATGTAGTCACACTTCATTTCACAATGGGGACAAGTTCTGTGATACATGAGGACTCAGACATTGGTCCCACGGTGTGTCCTTTATAACATGTTCGTGTGTGAGTAGAGATGACATCAGTCAGTCACTTCAAGTGGCCTCTTAATGTAATCAAGAGGGGCAGGAACTTGGGTATGATGGCACACTCCTCTCATCCCAGTAGCCAAGGGAGGAGGATCACGAATGAGTTTGAGGATAGTGAGACCTGAGAAGGGGAGAGGGTGTGTGTGTATGTGTGTGTGTGTGTTTGTGTGTGTGTGTGTGTGTGTGTGTGTATGTGTGTGTGTTTGTATGTGTGTGTAACATTATCCAGTATAATGTTCTTCTATATGTGTGCTGATTTTTCTAGGCCATTTCAGCACAGTAGGTCTGTCATGCAACTCAACTCATGACTGCCCTTGAAACTGAACTACAGACTGTGGATTGTTGCTGAGAAGGGTGTGCACCACTTTTCTGGGATACTTTTTTTGTACACTGTGAGGATGTGTCTTGGCAGGGTACCTTCTGATTGATTTTAAAAAGAGCTGAATATCCAATAGTTAGGAAGGAAAGGATAGGTGGGACTTCCAGGGAGGAAAAGGAGGAGAAGACAAATCTAGGCATGCAGAGAGAAACCAGCAAGACACAGACCAAGTTGTACATACGGAATGGAGGAGAGCTAAAAAGCCACATGGCGGAACATAGATTAATAGAAACTTGTTAATTTGAGTTATTAGAGCTAGTTGGGAACAAACCTAAGCTAACGGCCAAACTTTCATAATTAATAAGACGTCTCCGTGTTGCTTTTTGGGAGCTGGCGGCCCCAAAAGAAAGTCTGACTACGCATCACCACTCCCAGTATTAGCATTCTAGCATCCATGGCTGTTTTCACACCAGTGTGCCGTGTGCCGGGGTGGGAGCCAGCGTTCTGACAAATGTTTTGCATAAATATTTTTCATAATTACCAGAAGGAAGAGGAACATATTATCAACCAGATAAGGGAAAATATGTTCATTTATCTCACAAATGAATATAAATTCTTTCAGTATACCCATATCGTTCTGAATAATACCACTCCCCAAGTAAAAACATTTCTTTGCATGAAAAGAGACTCTGGGGGCTGGTGAGATGGCTCAGTGGCTAAGAGCACTGACTGCTCCTCCAGAGGACCTGGGTTCAATTCCCAGCACCCACATGGCAGCTCACAACTGTCTGTAGCTCCAGTTCAAGAGAATCTGACATCATTATACCAATGCGCATGAAATAAAGTTAAATAAAGTTAAAAAAAAAAAAAGAAAAGAGACTCTGAAATATAACTGAGAAACTGGCCCCGTAGAGCATAGAACACATTACCTCTCTCTTGTTTCACACACTTAAAGGGAAGAGCAGAAAAGCAACACCTTATTTAAAGAATGTTGAGATTGAAAAGCATAAGAATGTTAATTTTTTTCTCCACTGTCATTTTCTACTTTTTCATTTCAACAATTCCCAGTGCCCACTTGTTCCTGGAAAAGAAAGCATGCTGCTGGTTTTCTTTTTAAACAAGAGGAATGCTGAGTGTATGGAAGGCAGAGGGGAACCGGTGACTGGTGGAAGAAAAGATCTTGCTCACAGAGGTGTGTGGGACAGGGAGTCCATTAGCAAGTCAGTGCACTCGTGGGATTTCCCACTTAGAGTATTAGTGAAAATGCGGTTTCTGCATCTTGGTAATTGTTTCTTAAAACAGCTTTCTAAAGCCAGCCAAACACTCCTCCTGCTCACTTCCTGTTTGGCAGCTGGGGTTCTAGTATGAAAATGGTGGAGTGGGAGTCTCAGGTCTTCAGCAGAGCACAGGCATAGACCCGGCACCCTCTCCTCTCTGGATCCAAGCAGGTACTTAGGCTCAGGAAGTACACCTTTGGTTTCTTGAGCTAAAAACTCTCTCACTCAAGGTTTCTTTGTGTTTTCTTGTTTCTATTGACATATGGCCACTACTTTTCAGTCTTCTTCCCCTGGGACTAAGAGATTGGAATGGAGTGGGGATGAGGGATGGTAGAGCATGGTAGGGGGAATGAGGGGAAGGAGAGCACAGTAGGGAGGGAGGACTAGGGGGAGGGAGGGCACAGTACTTACTTGGTCTCACTATGTGGCCCTGACTGACTTGGAACTTGCTTGCTAGGTAGACCGCATTGGCATGAAACACACAAAGATCACCTGCCTCTGCCTAGGATTACAAGACTAGGATTAAAAACACCCCCGCACACAGCAACATAAGTATTTTTAATTAAAATAATGGCAGAGTGTAGTTTTTTTTTATATCGCATAATCTGGAAGTTTGGATATTAGAAGAATTATGAAAGCCGCGCAAACCTTGATCCTGCAGAGTCTGCTGAGCTCAGCAGGAGCCTGTGTAACCCATCAGCAGAAGGCTACTTCAGGAAAGGTCAGCACAGCGGGACTCTTCTACCCGTGAAGGACATTTGCCATTGGTAGAGAACTAGAGTGTGCTGGTTGAGTCAGCTTTTCTCAGTGACTTCAGAGGCAACTGTCCTGGCGTCTTACTGATGTATACAAATAATCCTGAAACTCAGTGACTTCTAAAACAACGATGTTTGTTTTTGTTTTATTATCTATTTGATTTATGCTTGCTGGAGATGAGGTCTTGTGTTGCTGAGGTTGGCCTCGTGCTTTCTTTGTCACCGAAGATGACCTTGATCTCCAGATTCTTCACCGCCGTCGTACTAGGATTACATACATCAGCCATCATACCCAGCAGCAACAGTTTGATTTTGCCCCTGAAACTGTATTCTGAGCAGGACTGGGGGAGCCTGCCTTGTCTGTGCCTACTTGGAGTTGACCGGGTGACTGACTGGAGTCTTTTGGAAAGCTCTACTCTCAGGGTCGGGAGATTAGGCAGTTTAGAAACGCCCTGCACTGGAGGATTTCTCTGCCTTCCCTGCATCCCAGTCTGCTACTCATGCTTTTATTGCTTTTGTAGTTTTGCTTTTTATAAAAACTATGAAGTTGCAATCAGACTTACTGTAGATTTTGCAGACTGCTTCCTTTCTTCAGAAATAGGTGTGTGAGTTTATGTTATGTTTTTGTCCTAGCTTGTTAGCTTCCTTTCTCCTGTTCAGTACCATTTCATTGTGTGCAGGTACCACAGGTTAGCTGTTCATCTTTTCAGAAGCATTTGGTTGCTTCTGAGTTTGGGAAATTACGTATAAGGCTGCTGTAAATTTTTGCATGCACACACACACACACACACACACACACACACACCATATGAGAGTGGGGAAAGGGAGCGAAAAAGAGAAAGATATCCCTTAAACCCAAGTTTTGCAATGCCTACATTTTAGACACATTTTCAAGACCAGGAAAGTTTCATTTCATAATATAATCAACCAGATTATGGGCTTACCTAGTGTTTTATCTATTTTTACCTATACCCCATTTTTACCTAGACCCTGTCTATGTTTGAGTTTATAGTTCAATAAAATTTTATTGTTGGTGTGCTCTTAACTACCAACCTAATCAAGATTCTGAACTGCTTTAGGCCACAAAGAAACTCCCTGGAGCTGCCACTTTAAAACCCATACTCCCTAACCCCAGCCCTTCTCCGTGGTGACTGCCAGCATGGCATATGCTTGAAAAGGCTGTCCTTGGAGTCACTCAGTCAATTTTGTTCATCATCTGTAGGAAATTTATTGATTCTTCTTCTTTTTTACTTCTGACATTTTTCAGTCTCATCTCTGGTTCGCCTGAGTGAACCCACACATCTGTAAACAGGGAGCTTCTCCTGCTTAGAAGTGAATTATTAAGAAGTTCTAATCTGCATATATTTTAAACAGAACCTGACATGTAGTTATTAGTGTTAAAGCAGCAGATAGACGAGGCTGAGATTGTTATGTGATAGGGAACTTTTACAAGGTTCATTAGCAAATCCCTGTAAAGAATGACCCACTTTAGCTCACTTAAAGCGTAATTCAATTTACCAAAGCATAATGCGCAAATAAATTTTTTAGAGGAAATAGCAATTTGTATTCGCTAACTAGCAAATGATAATGTGGTTAAAAACTAGAAAAATAAGAGCGTATAAATGAGCTGGCAGCGGGGAAGGCAGCATTGGGGCGACGAAGGCGCCGTTGTGAGTTTTGCAGTATGAAATTCATAAAGTCATCATGCTGTAGACAAATAAGATGTTTAGGATATCAGGAATATGCCAACTGCTAAGGGCTCCGAGGGCATAGCACTGTGTGTGAGAAGCCAACACCACACGGCTTTGAAGAGGAAGAGTGACCCACTGCGCTTCAAGGCTGGACCACGCATACCCGTTCTTCAGCCAGTGGCTTGTATGATGTAACTGTTTACTTGGAAGGCAAAGTTAGTGCCAAGAAGTTGTTTAGTTAAATTGTCAAAAACTAGTTTATTCTGGAGTGCTAGAATGTCGTTTTTCAACCTTAGTGCTATTTATGCTTTGGGCCAGATAATTCTTTTGGATGAGTATGCGAGTTTCTGTCAGGTGAGAAATAGCTAAGGAATTTCAATTAGGCTCCCGTATTTTGGCTCCTGGCTTAGCGGTGCCAGCCTATGAGTGGCTGGCACCATTTGCTTTTCAGCTGTGGCAGTGTAGAGCATCACGGTGGGCAGTGTGTGGCAGAGTAGGGCCGCTCATCTCAGGAAGCAGGGACTTCAGCTGGCACTGGTTGGCCTCCTTCTTCTAGGTTGTTCTTACTATGCCTCCAGCCTGTAAGGTGATGGGAACCCAGTGCACAGTGAGTCTTAACACCAAGGCTATCTCAAATGCCAGTTGCCTCTGGTAACATATTCACAGGGACCCCAGAAGTGTGCTTTAGTAACCTCTTATGGACCTTTCTCTCTAGTCAAGCTGATATTTAAGGTTAGCCATTGTAGGGGGAACTGTTTGCGTTATCGGGCGGTTATCAACATTGCTGGACAATGTATTCTGCTTTCCACCAGTGCCTCTGCCTGAGTTATGATGAAGTAAAATGCCTACATGCTATTTCACTGTTTCCTCATTACTACTGCATCATCATCTTGTCTTCTTTGAAGGACTTTTGAAATCATACATTTTAAACATACAGAAAATTAAATCGAATAGTTTTCTTATTTCCGAACTACTTTTGCTTTTGTTTTCTTTTCACGGAATGATGCTGCTTTACATTTTCGTGTCCCTCGTTGTCTGGTCACACTGACTTTGGCGTCTGATCAAATAGACATGTTTGTGCAGAGAGGGTGGGGCGTCACAACAGAGAAAAAAGATGAAGTACTTGGGCAGCACGGATTTCTTGCCTTTCACAATAAAAAATATTTTTTATTTTTATTGTATGAATGTTTTGCCTACATGCATGTATATATACTGAGTGTGTGCCTGGTGCCCGTGGAAGCCAAAAGAGAGTGCTGGATGCTCTGGAAGCAGAATTAAGGGCTGTTGTAAGCCACCGTGTGGGTAGTGGGAGCCAAACCCGATCCTCATCAGGAACAGCAGGTGCTCTTAACTGCTGAGCCATCTCTCCCGTCCTCTTTCACAGTTGTTTTCCATACAGGCAGCCAGGGAGGGCACCCTGGTGCTTGCATGAATGGAGGGATGAGCCCTAAAAAGCTATGCGTGAAGGAGGCAGTCCTGAAGACTGGCTGAGCATACATACCTTCAAGCCAATCCACAACCTCTCTGCAGCTTGTGATTTCCTCATTCCTGCCTGCAGCTGCAGCAGACTGGAATCCCTGATAAGAGAATAAAGGACTGACATTTTCCTGGGGAGCATGGACCCTAGCTGCTTCCCAGCCTGGCCTCCTTAAGGTTACCTTCTCCGAAGCCAGCTGTTGGAACTTTCCTGGCTGGAGCTAGCAGAACACTTAGTTTTCCTCTGTAAAGCTTCTGGAATATTGGCAGCCGGTCAGCATTCAAACTGCCACGCCACCAGTTCCCCACCTTCACGGCTCCTTAAGGATACCCGTCATCCCAGCAGGTCTTTTACTTCATGGCAGTGCCCCGGGCACATATGCGTGCTGCGGTGCTTTATGGTAGCCACAGCAGTGAAATAAAAAAAAATACAGTGCCTGGGAGGCAGCATTTGTGATCCTGTGCACTTTATCTCATCTTAGATATTTGTATCAGTCCGAGAAAACTAAAAGCATTTTTGTTTTACTTGAAAGACCTGTTTTTCTTGAGTTTCTATGTGATTTGGAAGAGTGACTGCCCATAAGCAGGCCTTTCTCATAGCTAACCTTTGTGGCCTTAGTTTTGTGCTGAATGATGAGTATGAACTGTGTGCACGTTTTATCAAACTTAAAAGTAGTTCTTGCTGAAAAATACTCCCCTTCTGGACTTTTAAAGCCCGCTGCACACAGGCCTGTTGGAGAGTTCCATGCGCTGCTTCTTCAATCCGTGTATTGAGCAGACATCTGTGGGTGACCTATGCTAGGCAGCATACTGTCACAGAGAGGCCCTGTCCTCACCAACTCCCTGCAGACAGATGCTGCAGTCACTGGAGAGAAGAGAGCTACCAGGCAGAGAGGAAGAACTGAATAACTAGTCTGGGGAAATTGGACCGGCTTCCAATTGGAGGCACTCCCCGGCTGTATTCCGAATAATGCCTGTGGCTGTGACCCACGGGGTGGGGGCAGGGTGAGGCCTGTCGTGGGAGGAGACTGCTGGGAGAGGCTGTTAGAGGCAGAGGGAGCAATCTGTGGGAAGGGCAGGAGTCAGCTGACTTCGGAGAGAAGCCCTGTCTTACTGGGTTTTGGTGCTCCTTTACTCTTAGGTATTCAGAACGGCCATGCCTTATTCTTGGGGGAGATTCATCGCAATAGACTCTCATCATCTCTCAGAATGATGCTCTCTCAAACCACGTCCCTGCCCAGCTGGTGGATCCATTACCATTGCTCCATTGATCAGGTCCCAGTGATGCCTCTTCAGGGAACTTTGGTCAGCAAAGGCTTTCTTCCGGCGTATATCATGGCGCTGGAACGCTGAGCGAGGCCTCCTGGTCTTGTGCCATTTGCTTTTTATTCAGAAAAAGGGCAAAAAGCATAGTCAAGCAATAATTCATTTTCTTAAAAAAAAGCCTACAGCTGCAATCAACTTAGAACTTAGTATTTAAGTTGTCATTTCAAAATCCAAGGAAAAGTATGTGAGAAAGGGTCCTGAGAGCGTTTGGGACTGGGGTACCTTCTTTTCCTAATGAGGCTGACAACACAGCTAGCCTTCCACAGCAGAGGCCCTGGGCCTCACAGGTGGGCGTGCCGAAGTATGCATTGCATTATCAGGACCTCTGCAGAAACCATCTGGGAGATCAGTATTTACTAGGTTGTTACTTCCAGAAACAAAGGGAGCCTCTGAAAGGATTCTCTTCCTGCCAAAGTTGTCATTATTGGTGGGAACCCTTGGGATGTGCTTGCAAGTTGAGGGGAAGGCTATAAGAGCAAAAATGAGAGAGCAGGGAAAGGAGCCTGTGGGAGCCTGAAACATCACTGAGGTCTTCATGTACCGGTAGCCACCCAGCTTAGAGATGAGTCTGGGGATCTGGCTGCTCTTCATGTTAGAGAAATTAGCACTCAAACAATATCACACGTACACCTTTACAGTGTTAGAGAGAGTAGTTTTCTTGCCTACAACATTGCCTCTGGTCTGTTTTGCCCCCACCTTCCTTCTGGCCTCCAGACTCCTGGTAATTACCCTTTCTGACTCTGTAGTTTTGTCTTCTCTAGAATGCCAGAAATTCAGAATTATACAGCATGCAGCTTTCTCAAACTGGCTTTCTGTTCCACAACATATCTGTCTGTCTGCCTATAGAAGGACGTGTTGGTGGCTCTTCTGGTTTGGGGCACTTGTGTTAGACACATCAGTGTATAGACTTGTTTTTTGTTTTGTTTTGTGGACATACACTTTCAACTCATTTAGGTAAGTACCTCGGAGCACAATTGCTGGGTTGTGTGTTATACCGTATTTATTATGTAAGATGCCAGACTGTCTTCCAGCATGTCTTTATCATTCCCCGCTGCTTCTTTCATGTTCGTCTGCCAACCTTAGATATAATTTGTGGAAGAACGTGGGTGCTGCTTAATGTGTAGTAGCCTGGTCTGAAAGACCGAGTGAGCAAAGATCTGAGTGTCGGTTGCTTTGCAGATCTCTGTTGCTCACGGAGCCAGAAGTCCAGAGCATGTTCATCAAGTAACTGGAGGATGCCATCATAGATCTAACCCTTTCCTTTCCTTTCCCTCTGTTCCCCCACTGGAAACATGATTGTTTAGCACAGGCATCATGCCTTCATGTACTTAATATGAAGGAAATACCAGTAGAGTTCTTCTTACTCTGTCCCTTTAATAGGGCAAGTGGAACCCCCCACCCGAAACTCCTCAGCAGTGATCCTGTGATGCTCTCCTCCCTCCGAATGGATCTGAAGATGTTAGCCTATAATCTCCTGCTATAATGAAATCCCTGAGATGATCAGCTAGAGAGAAGGAAGATTTGTTTGGTTCATAGGGTTAGGGGTTTCAGTTCATGATTAGTTGGCTCTACTTTTGGGGCCATGGTTAGAACAGTTATCTCATAGCATTGAGCGTGTGTGCGCCTGCCCACCTCATGGCATGGGGAAATCGAAACAAAATCCGGGAGGCAGGGAGAGATAGGTAATACATCTGCCTTCCTCACACTATGCTTCTTAAAGATTTCGTCAATGTATGGTCCTTTTTGAGGATGTCTCAGCTCCAAATAACAGCAAAGATTATTCTCACCAACAGCCAGGCCTCCTATTTTCACCAGGACAGTATTTCAGAGGTAAAATATCTTTCTCACACCCTCCTCCAGCTTCATATTAGAAGTTCCTATAACAAGAGGCAGGCTAATAATGGAGAGACATTCAGAGTTTTTTTTTTTTTTTTTTTTTTTACTATGAGCTTAGGTGACGACATGGAGATGCAGGCAAGCCTGCGTCCACAAATAGGTTCTAGGACAGATTGTTAAGTTTTGGGTGGCTGGGGAGAGTTCAAGAGGACACTGAGATGTACTGTTGGAGAATAAAGAGTTTATTAGAAGAGTTACTAACACCAAGGACAAAGAGGCAACTGCATGGTGGTGTGTGTGTGTGTGCTCAGTGGTAAGGTGCTCCAGCACTCAGCTTGACTGGGGTCTCTGATAAGAGAAATAGCCCTTTTGGCAAAGGTGGGAGACTGTTCTTACAGCTTCGCGAGAATGCTGGAGGTTTCATAATCCGAGCCCGCAGTCAGACCTTCTGATTCCCAGGCTGAAGGGAAGAATGGAGTTGGGGAGCAAGATGTATCTGACGTTTGATGTTAACTCACTTCTCACGTGAGAAATCCTGGCACCGGGATAGTCTATTAGTAAGGGACTCCCAGTGTCCTGGTAGCATCTGTAAGGGGGAAGGCTGCTGCAGATACTGCGACTCTAGCAGATTCTAACCCCAGCGAGTGGACAGCCTGTAGACTGTGATTGAATATAGAGTAGGATCCAACTGTGATGAGCTGGGGAGACTTCACAAGGCCTGTTTGTTCAGTCTCTTCTCGGCACTCTCTAGCTTCAGGCCCTTCCTGAAACATCGAGAAGCACCCCTCACTGGAGGTTATCTGACTTGCTTCTGGGGGGAATCTGAAAATCATTTCTAAGTTTTATGACCCATTTCAGGAGGCAATGGTGAGGAGTGGGTGTGAGTGACCTTCCTGTTTCTGCTGTGCCAATTTGGGGGCAGTATGTTCAGAACTCAGTTACTTTGAGTTTCAGGTGTGAGTTTAGGTGTCCCGACAGGAAGAATGCAGATGACACAGTCTAGATCAGGTTCATTTTCTCCGCCAGATAAAGAATTAAGAGGCAAGAAAAATCTTTTTTAAAAAATATTTATTTATTTATTATGTATAATAATATATTTAAATATTTTAAACATATAAATATATATATATAAATGCATATAAATAGAAATATATAAATATAAATATATATAAATGAATTTATTTATTTATTTATTATGTATACAATATTCTGTCTGTGTGTATGACTGCAGACCAGAAGAGGGCACTAGACTTCATTACAGATGGTTGTGAGCCACCATGTGGTTGCTGGGAATTGAACTCAGGACCTTTGGAAGAGCAGGCAATGCTCTTAACCACTGAGCCACCTCTCCAGCCCGGCAGGGAAAATCTTGAGTAACACAGGCAGCCGGGGAGACATCTCTGACCCCGCAGACAACAACAGACTCAGCAGCTGAGGAAAGCTGTTTACTGGGGTGAGGAGACACACATGCTGCACTCACAGAGAGAAGAGGACCCTCTGCCAAGCCAGAAACATCCAGACTCTTCTCCAGGGCAGGGTCTTTTTAAGTCTCTGAAGAGTTTTCCTTCCCTTAGTGTTGGTCAGTTTGAAGAGAGATAGTATGGGCCCACAAAAGTTGTGTTACCTGTCACAATGATGCCTTGAACTTGTTGATCCAGTCAAGCCTGCCGGTTGGGGACAAAGCACACAGGGAAGGTGTTAGCTCTCAAACTCTGGACAAAGCACCGGAATGTCTGTTAACATATCAAAGTGGACCCTGGCCTTCAGGTTCTTCCAGCATGCCACCCCCTGCAGTCCCTCCCTATAGCATGGGCCTCCTTGCTGGCATATCCTACCCCCTACTGTAATCTCCAGCCCTGGAATCCCAGTTCCTATATAACTCTGTCATTTTGGCTACACCAGTCTCTTGGTCCAGGCTGCCCCTCTTGGTTGACGGCTCCTCTCTTGCTCTCCCTGCCCCTCTTTCTCCTCACATGACCCAGATCAATCTGGCCTTGTTCACTCTGGGCTCTCTCAGATGTATGTGCCTCTGCCCCTTTCTGTTTTCTCCCTCATATCTACAATACACCTCCTCCATTTTACCTAGGAGCAGCCATGTCTTTCTTATTTCCTTTGTTCATTCAACGAGCTTTTTTTGTCTCAAGTCAAGAAAGCGAGGAAGAAGCTGGCCATTTTTATTACCTATCTATGGCTCTATCCTTCTATGTCTACCTAGCAGAGAATATGACTAATTCTTAGCCTCTCACTGAGGGATAGAGAGAGCTAGACTCTGGTTTTCCACCGCTTACTGAACATGCTTGCTCTCGCATCTTCAGCCCACATGGCTCCTTGATTTCCTCTGGATGAGACGACTGTGGCTCCCGCTACAGATACGGCATCTGAGTAGATGGAAGTTCCTTTCTCTGCTGAGCCTTCTGGATAAGGGGACACCAGGGCTTTGGTTCCTCTTCTAAGTCCTTGGCAAAATCTTTATGAGCCTTTTCTTGAGAATTTCACCCTTTTAAGCCCAGATTGAAAGAAACATTTCACTGATCTATTCCCGGAGGGATACTTGCTTAGCGCCGGTAAAATGGCGTGGCAGTGAGGTCTGACGAGTCCTATGCTGAAACCTAACAAAGCCTAGGTTTGTCTTCTGCCCTAAAAGCAGAGGATTATGTGCCATCCTTATGGTGGTTTAAATCATAGTTCTTCCTTGACAAGGTGTTGGTCTGGAAAGCGAGATAAGGAGTTGGACTGAGATTGGTGTGCTGGTCGCCAAAGTCACAGATTTGCTCCTTCCTGGCTTGTTGAAAGGGATCTTATCCATTGTCCTCGAGTGTTGTCAGGGGTGGTTTTTGATGTCTTCCTTCCTTTCCTGTTTCGCTTGTATGTTTGTGGGAAGTCTGTAGGCTTTCCACATGAGCATTCTGAGCATTCTATATTTGATGTAGTACTTAATTTGTGCTAGCAAATGCCCGAGGCTTTAAAAACATATTTTAGTTAAAATGCCTTGTAATTGGCATTTATGCCCCCAAGTAATTTTTATGAACTTTTAGAAATAGGTAAACACATGGAAAGAAAAATAAAAGGTGATGTTGTGCTTCCTAAAGGTGAATATGTTGCTGCGTGGAGCAGCGGCTTTTTCTTTTTGGAGTCGACCCCAGTGGCTTCCTGGCTTGTTTACACAGCATCTGTGATATATGGGCAATGTACTAATAGTCATTCGTATTTTAT